GTGAACGTTCGGGGAGCGCGCGTCCACAGTTATCCGCTGTGAACGTTCGGGGAGCTCGCTTTCATTACATATGATTGTGGTGATGCTTTACGTTCTTGCGCATCTCATCGTTTTTTACGCGCTCCCTGGTCATGTCAGGAAAGGTTTGGAAAATGAGCGTGGCCCCTCCAGAATCCTCGCCAAATCGTGATCTTGGCGGCTCTATCTGAAGACGTCGTATGCGAACAAATGAGCGTTCTGCCTTCGAAATCCTCAAACATGTGTGATCTCCAGAACTTCCAGAATGGCCGTTTGGCCTGAGACATCTTCGAACAAATTGGATGCACCAACATTTTTTGTAAGACATCTTTTCTGACCGCTCTGGGATGACCTCCAAGATGGTCCAAGAAGCGAAACGATTCAATGATATTTAGATGAATTGTTATCTTGTTTTTTACCTAACAGCGAAGACTGATAGGTTTCTAGTGGGATCAAAAGAGAGCAGCAGATCACTCCACAGGGGGGTCCGGGCAGGTGTTGGGAGTTGCCGGGCGGCAGGTGCCGGGCTCGTTTTTCACCAACAGTCACACACTTCGTGCTCTTCGACTTCCCAGAACTCCATTCCCAGGCCACATTCTCAATACCCGGATGCAACAGTCACACACAAAGTGCTCTTCGAGATCCCAGAACGCCATTCCCGGGCCACATTCTGAATAACCGGATGCAACAGTCACACACTTCGTGCTCTTCGACATCCCAGAACGCCATTCCCGGGCCACATTTAGAATAACCGGATGCAACAGTCACACACTTCGTGCTCTTCGAGTTCCCAGAACTCCATTCCCGGGCCACATTTTGGATGCCCGGAGCCAACTGTAGGCCACTTCGTGCTCTTCGAGTTCCCAGAACTCCATTCCCGGGCCACATTTTGAATGCCCGGAGCCAACTGTAGGCCACTTCGTGCTCTTCGAGTTCCCAGAACTCCATTCCCGGGCCACATTTTGAATGCCCGTAGCCAACTGTAGGCAACTTCGTGCTCTTCGACTTCCCAGAACTCCCATTCCTGGGCCACATTTTCAGCAGGGGCAAGAGCACGACGAGGAGGAGGACGAGCAAGACCAGGAGGACGAGGACGAGCAGGAGCAGGACGAGGAGCAGGAGGAGCAGGAGAAGAAGGACGAGCAGGAGGAGGAGGAGGACGAGCAGGAGGAGGAGGACGACCAGGAGGAGGAGGACGACCAGGAAGAGGAGGAGGAGGAGGAGGAGGGGAGGGGGAGGAGTACCAGGAGGAGGAGGAGGAGGAGGAGGAGGAGGAGGAGGAGGAGGAGGAGGAGGAGGAGGAGGAGGAGGACGAGGACGAGGAGGAGGAGGAGGAGGGGGGGGGAGAGTACCAGGAGGAGGAGAACGAGGACCACCAGGAGGAGGAGGAGGAGGAGGAGGAGGAGGAGGAGGAGGAGGAGGAGAGAACACCAGGAGGAGGAGGACGAGCAAGACGAGGAGGACGAGAACGAGGACGACCAGGAGGAGGAGGAGGAGGAGGAGGAGGAGGAGGAGGAGGAGGAGGAGGAGGAGGAGGAGGAGGAGGAGGAGGAACACGAGGAGGAGGAGGAGGAGGAGGAGGAGGAGGAGGAGGAGGAGGAGGAGGAGGAGGAGGAGGAGGAGGAGGAGGAGGAGGGGGGGGGGAGGCACCAGGAGGAGAACAGGACCACAGGAGGAGGAGGAGGAGGAAGGAGGAGGAGGAGGAGGAGGGAGAGAGCACCAGGGAGGAGGACGAGCAAGACGAGGAGGACGAGAACGAGGACGAGCAGGGAGGAAGAGGAGGAGGAGGAGGTGGAGGAGGGCAGGAGAAGGAGGAGGAGGAGGAGGCAGGCTGAGGCTGAGGCTGTGACTGCGACTGCCGTTGCCGCTGCGACTGTCATCGCGAATGCGACTACGACTGCGAGAACAGCAGAATTCGACAACTGGATTTTCATCTGAATCTTAAGGGGAATGCTTTCAGATATGCTTCTACACATCGCTGTTAGGTTGCTTTGCCGGGATAATTTAATGGGTCCGCTCGAGACACTCCCTTAACACATCTTCGGACGGGTTCTCGACACCGTCAAGTCATGATGAGATGGCAGTAATGACGACAATGATGACGATGATCACGATGATTGTGCTACTGATGATGATTGTAGTGCTGACGACGATGGTGATGAAGATGGTGATTATGTCGATGCCGCTCATGCTGCTAAGCCGAGGTTCCTGATGTTGTCGATGTTGATGATTGTGTTGATCATGATGATGGTGATCATGATGGTGGTGGTGATGACGATGATATTGGCTGTGATGTTGCTGGTGGCGATGACGGTAACGATGGTGTGATGGGGTGTTGGTGATGATGACGATGTAATGATGATGATGACGATGATGATGATGTTGATGATCATGATGATAATGATGCTGATGGCGATCATGATGATGATTCTGCTGACGGTGATGGTGATCAGGATGATTAAAGTGAAGGGGAGACGGAGGAAATTGAAGGAGTACGGAGGTTTGGGGGGGATATTCAGAATGGTCGTGTAATTGTTCGTGGAGTGCGTGTCGACAGGTATCCCCTGATGACGTCCGGAGAGCTCGCCCACAATACGCTTGATCTTGATCATTCTGCACGTTCTTGCGCAGCTCTTCGCTTTTATTCGCTTCCCGCTCATGTCAGGAATCTATTTGGAGACTGCGCGTTTCGCTTGAGATATCCTCGCCGAATCGCGATCTTGGAGGCTCTGGATTCAGACGTCTTATGCCAAGCATCAGCGTTTCGCCCGAGGCATCCTCGACACATTGTGATGACGAAGTCGCTGGCCGAACCTTTCGGAACTTCACACGTGGCCGTTTGGCCCGAGACATCTCCAGACGTTTGGGATGCGCCACGAGTTTTCTTGAGACATCTTTTCGGGGCGCTCTTGGATGACCTCCAAGTTGGCCCACTAAGCATCAATATTTGAAAACCTCTGGTCTATAGCACGTGTGCTGAGAAATAAGCGGTTCGCTCGAGGCACTTTTTCAAGCCTGTTTTCGGACGCGTCTCAGAAACCATGAGGTGGTGACGGCAAAGATGGTTATGATGATGATGTTGATGATGATGGTGATGGTGATGGTGGCAATAACGATGATGATAAGTTCTTTACGCTTCGCGTATCCCCACCAGCCCATCTCACAACAGCAACTCTTGCGAAGCATGCCGACAGTCGTGTTTTTCAGGCGTGTTTCCGGCTGCCCCCGCATATCTCCCCTGTTCCTCCTTCCTCCCGCCTCCTTGTACATCCTCCTTGTGGTGGGAGCGGGAGAAGGACGAGGCGGAGGAGGAGGGAGAGAATGCGCTCCTCGTGGTTTGAGTCGTTTGGGGTTCCTCGTCCTGGTGTGAGTCGTTCGGGCCCTTCTTCCTGGTGTCCCTGGTTCGGGCTCTTCGTGGGTGTGCGTACGTTAGGGCTCCTCGTCCCTGGTGTGAGTCGTTTCGGGCTTCTCGTGTATGAATGAGTTTTCGGGCCCCTCGTCCTGGTGTGAGTCGTTCGGTTTTGCGTGTGGTGTGAGTCGTTGGGCTCCTCGCGTGGTGATCGTTCAGCGCCAGCTCCTGTGTGAGTCTTCGGGACCTCCTGCCACTCCGGCTTCGACCTCAAAGGCGACCACGTCGCGGTGGCTGCCGGAGCCTCTTGGATCTGCTCCAGGCCGTTGGGGCGTCTTTTACGGATCGTGGCATTCCCCCGGGTTTCCTACTCTCCCTGGCTCTTTGCCTGGGGGAGCCCTCTGGGGATTCAAGGGGCCTCTTGGGGGCGTCGACGGGCCTCTTGGGCGCCGTTGGGGTCCTCCGGGGGCCTCTTCGGGCCATCTTGGGCCTCTCGCTTTCCTGGGCCTCCGGGGGCCCCTTCACGGGTCGATCGAGAAGAGGGGGCGAAATGAGCGCTGCCCCTCGAAGGGCACGGGGAGCCCAGAACCTTCGAAAATAATAACGACGTTGAAGGATCTCAGTCTTTAATTTTCGCTGTCTCATTAGCTTGGCTTCAAAAAGAGGAAGGGTTTTTTCTGCCCCCCCCGTCGGGGCCAGAATCCTCGTGAGGGGTGTCGTTTTTTAGCCCTCCCAGGAGTCGAAAAGGACTCCCCTGACCACCCGCGAGGCGCCCTCTCCAGGCCCAGGGGGAGGGGGTAGGGGGAGGGGTAAACCCCTCCCCGAAGGGGAAGAAGGGGGGTTGAGAACAGAGAGAGCTCCCTAAACCACTCACGCCCAAAGGGCTGGTGGGATTATGTTGATGATCTTGATGATGATCATGATAATGACGATGCTGATGGTGATGCTCATGATGGTTTCGGAACTCATCGTTTTACGCGCTTCCCGTTCATGTCAGGGGCGGTTTCTAAACCATGGCCGTTTCGCTTGAGACATCCTCAAACATGGGTTACGGAGATGATTGCGAATCAACATCCTTTTGGAATCGCTCTTGGAGGGGCCAACCGTGACCCAAAAGAGCTCCCGAAAATGCCCCGCAGGGGACACAGAGAGGACCCACAGAGGCCCCCAAGAGAGCCCTATGGAGGCCCCCAGGCGGCCCGAGACAGCCCAAGATGGTGCTAAGACTGCGTGAGTGGGCCCCCACGGAACCTTAAGACGCACCCAGATAGCACAAGAGGGCCCCAGTCGCCTTCAAGAGGACCCCTACAAGCCCGCAAGAGGCCCAAATGCCCCAAGATAGCCCCAGATGGCTCCAACAGCCCCCAGGGTAGTCTCGAAAGATCACGAGGATAAGTCCCTTCTTCGACGTCCTTTTCCTCTGGCATTTGCCATCCTCCTTCGTCGTCTTCATCATCTTCGTTCTTCTTCTTCTCCTCCTCATCCTCCGCTTCGTTTCTCCTTGTACGTGTCCTCTTCCATCTCTTCTTCCTCGTCCTCGCGCTTGTTCTCCTACTCGTTGTCGTCCTGCTCGCCTCGCTGCCCTTCCCGTCATCCACGCTGCCATCCTCGTCATCCGCCGCCTTGTCGTCGCAATCGTCCTTCTCTTCTTTTCCTCCCACGAGGCCAATGGACAACATCGGCGCTGGCCGTTCTTGTCCGATCAGGTTCCCGGCCAAGAGGGCAGGGACTCGCATTGTAATACGTTCCATTGCCGGGGCGCATTTTGGGTGGGAGACGCACGTTGTTCTTTCAAATATTTATCCTCGCGCCTGTTGCTGCCTTTGTTGCTGCAGCGTTCCTGATGACTGCGGCACTTCTGTTATACATCGGCTTCTTCAAGCGTGAATTGATGTCCAATCGATCCTTGGACAAGTCGACTACACTGGTCGAGTCATGATCGCGGTGCTCGTTCCAAGGCGCAGTTCTTTGTGCCAGGGGATGATTAGAATTACCCCAGTGCGACCCTACCTAGAAGTTGGAGCCCCTAGGAAAGCAGCATTAGTTGCAATGCTATGCCATGCCATGCTATGCTGCGCTATTATATGCTATGCTGCGCTATGCTATGCTATGCTATGCTGCGCTATGCTGTGCTAAGCTATGCTAAGCTATGCTAAGCTATGATATGGCATGCTATGAGACGCTGCACTATGATATGCTATGCTATGCTATGCTATGCTATGCTATGCTGCGCTATGCTATGCTATGCTTTGCTGCGCTATGCTATGCTATGATACGCTATGCTGCACATTGCTTTTGCTTTGTCTTTCCTTTGATTTGATGTTGCTTTTGCTCTGTTCTGATTTGCGTTGCTTGTGCTTTGCTTTGCTGTCGCTGCTGTTGTTTTGCCTCTGCTTTGCTGCTATGCTATGCTATGCTGCGCTGCGCTATGCTATGCTATGCTGCGCTATGCTATGCTATGCTATGCTGGGCTATGCTATGATATGTTGTGCTGCGCTATGCTACGCTATGCTATGCTGTGCTCTGCTATGCTAAATCTCAACCAAGCTAAGGTGCAGGTAAGCTAAGCTAAGATACCACTGAGGTAAGATGAAGCTAAGCTAAGGTAAGATGACATAAGCTAAGCTAAGACGAGATCAGCAACGCGAAGCTAAGGGAACGTCACTGGGGGAACCGCGGGGCGGATGCCAGGGGAACCGCCCGGGGCGTGCCCCACTGCCCAGCCCTTGAAGCCTCAGAGTAAGAACCTTTCTAGGCAGAGCCTAGGTAGGGAACTATGACCCTATGAGATCATTTGAGAATGGCTGGAACACGGGGGATGAGGGGATGAGGAGGAGGAGGAGGAGGAGGAATGAGGAGACAGGACTATGGGATGATGAGGAAAAACGCCATGCGGATCGAGGAGGAGTAAGGATGTGGATGAGGCGGAGGGACGGGCAGGAGTTGGACCAGGAACAGGAATACAAAGATGGCAATGATACTGGATGGTGGGGAGTGGTGAAGAAGAGGCGGAGGAGAAGAGTCAGGATGAGTAAGGTTGAGGAGAAGGAGGACGCTAAGCAGGGGGGAGGATCGGTCTGGACCGGTCAGGATGAGAACGAGAAGGGAAGGATGCAGACATCTAAGCTATGATGAGCACCTCGATGAGTGAGGACGAGGGGTGACGACCACGACGGCATGCTGCTGATGATGATGAGTATGATGATGTTGGTGATATTGATGATGATGATGCTGCTGATGATGATGGTGATGGTAATGGTGATGGTGATGGTAATGGTAATGGTAATGGTAATGATGGTGATGCTGATGATGTTGATCGTGATGATGTCATGGTGATGTTGATGCTGATGGTGATGACGTTGATGATGACGATGACGATGCTGATGATGCTGGCGATGACGATGACGATGCCAATGAAATCGATTATTCTGGTGATGATGAGGAGGGTGATGGTGATGATGGGACTGAGGATGCGGATCCAGATGACGATCATGATAATGATGACGATGAAGATGCTGATCTTGATGATGCTGATGCTGCTCATGATGTTGATGCTGATGATACTGCTGGTGATGAGGATGAGGATGAGGATGAGGATGATGATGCTTGTGATGATGATGCTGATGAGGATGAGGATGGGGATGATAATGAGGATGATGATGAGGATGATGATGCTTTTGATGATGATGATGCTGATGCTAATGCTGATGCTGAGGGGGAGAGAGGCGGGAGACGAGCAGGAGGAGTAGGAGGAGGACGAACATGAGGAAACGTAACTAGAATGTGGCTTGCGTTGAGCAGTCGGATGGTCTTGGATGACTTGCCATATGGAGGAGGACGGGCGAGTGATGATGGTGTGTGAACGTTTGTGGCGAAGTGAACTTATACTAGTGGTTGTGTTGATGATGATGGCGAGGAGGAAGAGGAGGATGATTGTATGAATGATGCGTCTGGGGACTATATGACTGATGGACATGATGATGACGCTGATGATGCTGATGCTGATGCGGATGACGATGATAATACCCATGCGACTAATAATCAGATTGCTAATTCTTTTAACAATATTAAAATAATATGTTCAACGATGGTGATGGTGATGATGCTGATGATGATGAGGAGGGGAGGGGGAGGGGGAGGAGAAGGATCAGTCGGAGGAAGAGCGGCCCGAGAGGAGCATTTGGGACGTCGGGCGAGGATCGAATGAGTGAGTCGAAGTCAGGAGACGAAGCGGGGATGATGGGGAGGTGGATCCTACGTAGCGCTTTCCTCCCCCCTCGGATTGGGATCGGTATTGTTATCTAAAGGCTGCCGCCTCTGCCGCCGACCCCAAAGAAGGTCTGGACTTTTTTACTTTTTTTTGCGGTGCTAATTCGTAGCGTGCTGGTTTCATGGGGAGGAGGAGAGCGGGGAGCAGCAAGGAGGCGGAGAAGGAGGAGGGTACGGAGGAGGAGAAGGAGGAGGAGGAGAAGGAGTGGATGGAGGATCAGGAGGAGGAGAAGGAGGCGGTTACGGAGGAGAAGGAGGAGATTACAGAGGAGAAGGAGGAGGACTAAGAGGAGGTCACGCAGGAGGAGCAGGAGGAGGTCACGACGTGGTTCATGGATGCGGAGAACGACGATGTTACGGAGGACCTTATTCGCTGAATCCTTCAGCCCAGAATGCTGGTGGGGCACCTGGGGGCATCACATCGATCACAGTATCGATCTGACGATCGACTTCACAATCGATCTCATTCAACAGGACACCACGGGACACCTGTCGATCTCACTATCGATCTCACTATCGATCTCATTTTTGGGGACACCACGGGACCACGGGATGCGGGTGTCGGGACGTGGTGGGAGCGGGGGGGGGCGTCGGTGGGTTCCGGGCGAGAAATTGCGGGATGGGGAGGTCTCAAGAACAGAGCTGCCGTGCATGGGGGTGTCGGGACGTGATGGGAGCGTGGGGGGGCGTCGGTGGGTTCCGCGCGAGACATTGCGGGTTGGGAGGCCCAGGAACAGTGCCGCCGTGCATGGGGGTGTCGAGGTGGGAGCGTGAGGGGGGGCGTCGGTGGGTTCCGGGCGAGAAAATGCGGGTGGGAGGTCCCAAGAACGGAAGCTGCCGTGTGTGGGGGTGTCGGGACGTGTGGGACGCGCGGGGGGGGGACGTGGTGGAGCGTGGGGGGGGGCGTCCGTGGTTGCGGGACGGTCGAGAAATTGCGGGTCTGGGGATCCCAAGAACGGAGTCTAGCCGTGGAATGTAAGTGTGGGCAACGGGGTGGGAAGGCGGAGTGCTGCAACACTTGTTTGCGGGTGAAAATTGCCGGCTGCCCCAAACGGGGGTCCCAATATAACAGAGCTGCCGTGGATGGGGCCGCGTCGGGGAACGTGGTGGGAGCGTATGGGGGGGCGTCGGTGGATTCCGGACGAGAAATTGCAGGTTGGAGGATCCCAAGAACAGAGCTGCCGTGGATGGGGGTGTCGGGAAATGGTGTGAGCGTGGGGAGGGCGTCGGTGGGTTCCGGGCGAGAAATTGCGGGTTGGGGGGTCCCAAGAACAGAGCTGCCGTGGATGCAGGTGTCGGGACGTGGTGAGAGCTATGGGGGGGCGCTGGTGGGTTCCGTGCGAGAAATTGCGGGTTGGGGGGTCCCAAGAACAGAGCTGCCGTGGATGGAGGTGTCGGGACGTGGTGGGAGCGTGGGGGGGAGGCGTCGGTGGGTTCCGGGCGAGAAATTGCGGGTTGGGAGGTCCGAAGAACAGAGCTGCCTTGGAGGCCTCTTGGGCGCCCCTTCGGGCCTCCTGGGGACTTTTTGGGGCCGAGGGCTCGAAATGTCCGTTCGGGCCCCCCGTCTGGGCTCTTTCTTGGAGCCGTATTGGCACCCTCTTGGGCCGTCTTGGGGCCCTCTTGGGCCGTCTGGGGCCCTCTTGGGCCGTCTTGGAGCTCGGCGGGGCCTCTGGGGCTTGTCTCCTAACATCTCTCAAATTCCATATGACGACATGTGTGCCTCTGGGGGCCCCTTGGGGCGTCTTGGAGGGGCCGCCACGCGGGCGCGAACTAGAAACAGTGCAAACCTGTTTCCGGAGATCTTCGCACGCCTCTGGCCCGGTGCTTGCACCCATGGCGTCATCTTTTGGCCCTGGTGAACTGAGCTTGCTGACGTCCTACCACTGCGCATGTCCTCCAAGCCCATGTTGTCCCAGACAACGCATGCGCACGTCCTCCCACTCCTTGCCTCGCCCTCCTGACTCATCCCCTCGTTCCTCGACCCTCTCCTGCTCCTCAGTCGCCCTGTCCTCCAGCTCCTCTGATCCCGCCCTCCGCAGGCCCCAAAAAGTCAAGGGCCATGCGGGCGGCGGCAATGAGCCACAGGGAAGGCAGGGGGGACATCGCCAACCTCACACACCCGGCAAACCCGTGGCCTCGGTCGGATTGCACCAGTGCAGTCGCGAGGCCTTCAGACGCGCTGCGCTTAGGCCATGCACCTTCCCACACGCCATGCGCGCCAGGGGAGGGGAGAAGGGGGGAGGGGGAGAGGGAGGAGACAACAGAGGGGGAGAGAGGAGGAGCAGGAGGAATCAGTGGGAGAGGAGAGAGTGGCACAAACGGGACAAACATATGGATCCTCGATCCTTTGACCCTCCCTCCCATCCTTCAAACTCGTGATGCCATTAGCTCCCCCTCCCATCTCTCCTGCACCTCTTGGCGCCAAGACGCTGGAGAAGCGGACAAAGGAGGCCGTAAAGGCCAGGAAAGCCTTCACCTGGGAGAAGCAGAAGGACCTGGGAGGGCCAACACCTTCCGCGTCCTCCATCTCGCTGCGAACAAAAATCATGACGGACGGTTTTGGCACGTTCTCGGCCTCAGGGGCCTTTTACGGGTCCCGGGACCGTCAACAAAAACGACTCAGGAAGGAAAGCAGGTTCCTGGGAAGGGGTCCAGACCTTTGGAAGTCCACATTGTGAAAACATCACGGCGTAGGATTTTTGGGTCCTCGTCCTCCCTTTCCTTCATTTGGGCGATGTGGCTTGGGTACGGCTGCTGGTCAGTGCGGAGAATAGGAAAACAAGAA